TATACTATTTATAGAAATGATGACAACTTTACACTTCAATCCGCTTTTCATTATTTAATCAAACTTTTAATCAATTTCTTAATAAATATAATTTTAATAATAAGCACATTATTAAACACTTAAACTTAATTAAGATATGCATTGATAGACACAATGGAAAGTAAATCACTTATGTTTATCAGTGGTTCACATAATTTCCTATTAATTTCCACTTAAACATCAAATTAGTTCAATTACTCGATATAAAAAACTACACAAAAATCAATATTTTATTCAAATAAATAATTTGATACAAATTATACGCAAAGAAAATGTATTGGAAATTAAGTTCAAGTAAATTAAGTATTAAGAATATAATAGGCAAAAATGCAATTACCTCCATGGTCAATGACCGAGGTCAATTACTATCACATACATGTATATTGTGCGTTACGCGACCGGTCTTCTCCCGTAACTCAATCAATCTATTGTAGACACAATTATTTAAATAAGCATGGTAATAACCTTGTAGACTTACGTTTTAAACCGACCACACTTTGAAATCCTTCTCCCAAACCCATGAATACCTCTCAAGTGTCCCATTATTTCAACGGGTATTCAAGTATTCAATCATCAATAAATTTCCAAACATTTTGCGTAATATTTATTGCATTTATTAATAATAATTAAGTGAAAAAAAATATGCAAATTATTGTTAAATAACATTAATTATAGATCATTCAAGAGATCATTGAATATATAATTAGATTTACTGTTCAGACATTCAATTGTTTTCCGTTGAATTGGCGTAAAATAGAGACAAATAAATTTCATATGGAGTGAACAAAATGCATAAATTCTACCCATAAATGGCAGTCATTTTCTATACTAAACTTATTCTTTAAATTTACGGCAAACCAATGGCCGGCTATTCAATGTCTCAATAGTAATATAAGTGTAATAATAATAATTGAAAAATTATTGAGATTATAGTGATTTAACAAAAATACAATTTCTCTTTTTGGACGGAATTGACATTAATTCTTGACTGCAAATCCGTATACAACTCTTGCGGTGCATCGCCACCACCGTCTTCACCATCGCCTTCACCACCACTACTGACCACTGATGCGGTATCGCTGCCCCTCTGCAGTCCACTTATGAGCACCTTAGCGCGATATGCGGCCAAATCGGCGTAGAATACAGGCGCCGGAAGTGACACCGATTTCGTGCAGCGCTGATATATATGACACAAATAGTATGTCATTTTGCACATGTCGTCCGCTTTGAAGCCGTTCTCATCGGCCAACACATAGTAGTGCGCCGGACGACTAGTGCCCTAACACACAGTAATACAGATCATATAATACATATCGTAATTAATTTATAATAACAAATAGCTTACAATTCTTCCGGCCTGAGAGCACAGATAGAAATCAAAATCACTCTTATGAGTGACCCCGTTGTCCACAACAGTTCCCGGCGCGACGTTACGGCCCTCTTTGGTCATGAAGCGGGTGTGATGTCTCTTCTGCGCCACAAGGAATGTGATCTTTGGTTTGTGTTTGGCGTCAATCTTGGCAAACGCTTCGGCTATAAGTGGGTATTCGTGATCAATCACGTGTTGGAACTGCCCTTCACTCACGCCATCCCTAAAGAAGACCACTCTCTCCGGAAGGCATTTGTTGTGCTTCTGATAATTCTTCAACAATTCGACAAACATTGAGTCCAATTGTGTGATCATCTCTTCGCGAGACTTTGGTTGCAATTTAGTGATCGTATAGTAATTACAGTAGTCGTCGTCATAACTGCCGACCACTGCCGATATGGATGGTTCCACTTTATCGCCGGGCGCCGGATGGTTCACATCCGCGCCCACAATCATCAGCGACTTCTTCTTCTTGAAAATGGCCGGCATTGACGCCGAGTCCATAAGCGCCACATTAATGCCGCCCAACTTTGGGTTCACTTTGAGCATCAATTGTCGCAAATAACTGCGATTCCACTTTGTTCGCCGAGACCTGCCGTCCCATAAGTTGGCCGCGTTTACGCACTGAGTGGTCAATCCGTTCTGAACGTCACCCAACAGTTTGATCTCACTATAGATCGCATCGCTGTATGGATGCGTTTTGACGGGAGTTATGAACAAAATGGCCTTCAATTGAGGCATTTTAGAGATATTAGTCTTAATCATAGCGAAGGTATTAATTGGTAGAAAATTAGGAATATTAATGGCCCGTTGGTGTGGTAGTGCGCGCATTCCCATCTCTTTTGCCTGATCGCATAACTCTTTGCTAAATCGGCCAATAATATTGATACCTTCGTCATTGAACGCTGGATCAAAACTCATGTTCAAAATAATCCAATTCTCCAAACTATAACAAAAACTCATTAGTAAATACTGTATTACGGTAATTATAATTGTGGCCAAACCTGGCGGCTTTGAAGAACCGGGCGCCCCCTCTGGGGTTCTTTCGGTCAAACATCTCCCATTCGCCGTCTCGCGGACTAACAGTCTTATCGCCACTATATTTAAGACTCGGCGCCGCAATGATCTTCGAGCCAACAGTAAGTAATTGTTTGCTGATATCAATAGAGAATTCAAACAAAAATTGTTTGTTTTTCACACCAATCGATTCGTTTGAGTGAAACTGATTGATCACGTGATCCTGAATTAGGCCAAATCGTTGGTGTGGTTGCTGTTGGCCAGAAATTCTGGTCATTTCAGATCTCTCGGTGTTTGTTAGCGAACGCCTGACCCGTTGGTGAGACACTATTTTGCACACTTCGAGCGGCAGTTTAGACGGTTTGGTGGGGTTTCCCACCAAAAGACACGGCATTTTCGGATATCTCAAATTGATATTATATTTCAAACGAAAGTATTCGACGACTGATACTCTTCGGGTCTCTTTGCCGGTCTCAGACCACTCGAACATCTCCTCATTCGCGGGTTTGCTATCAATTCATTTCATTAAATATTAGTATTTAAAAGTAATTGATTGAGACTTACTCTGAGAGACCAATAATCCGGTATTTGCGGTAATACTCTCCCGTCGAGCCCTGATATGAGATGTGTTTGGCCTCCACTTGAAGTCCGGACAACTCTCTCTTGATGTTTCTCATTTGGTATGGACTCAATCGGGGAATTAGACCCAAATCACCCTTTAATATATAATCAATGATAATCTTAACATCTGTCGGCTTAATGAAAGCGGCGGCCGATCGGTCGACGTTAAGAGTGGGTCCGGCCATCAAATTGCGAACAGACGTATAGATACCATACGACAGGTCCAGAACTGGACTCAAGTGTTGTCCGGGTTGTCGAGTGAATATCGACTGACCAATTGGTATCAAATCCATGGACGCCTGATGTCTCAACAGTGTATTAATGAAGAGTATGCTCTTCTTGACGGCCTCGTCGTCGCACGTCTTGCCGTCTTTGTAATCATTCAAAATACTCAAATCAATTGTATTATTGGTTTCGACCAGTTTTATATTGACGAAGAAGTCGGAGGTTCTGTCGCCCTCTTTCAGCGATACCTCAACTCTAATGGGATTAGCAGTCAATTGACGCGATGTAAACATATTCTTCTGGCCGTCATATACGGCGCGAATGCCGTGAAAGTGTTGTCCAGCCGTTTGTGAATACGATTCGATCATTTGCTGGAATATCTTTCGGTTTAGATTTGTGCCGATTTTTCGGCTAAATTTGTTTTGTTTTTTCACAGCAAGAGTGGACTCAACCACTTCTTTGTCGACAACATTTGGGTCTTCGACTGGCTTTTTGAAAGCCCTCTCGACCTCAATGTCGTAATGATAAGCAAGAGTTTTCTTTCCCACTTTTATAAGGAAATGATTGGTCAGAAGAGCCACGGATTGTCCGACCACTTCATCTTTGGGTCGCTTCGGAAACGCCCTGTGATTCCTTCTGGGCGTTGAAAGAGTCAACTTTTTCTGCAACTTTTCGGCCAATTCTGTGGGCTTTTATAACCACAACAATCAGTTAATACCGCAAAATAATTATATTGTCAATCAATACCTTTTCGGGCGCCTTCTGGTCACCTGATTCAGAGACCGATGAGGACTGACCGCCGCTATAACCCGCCTGAGGGGGTGGCGATTGAGGCACAGATACTACAGGTCTAGCTGTGGGGACGGGCGCGGGAGCGGTGGGCGCACGTATTGGGGCAACAACTTGAGGGGCCGGCTGTGAGGGTCCTCCCAATGACGGGAAATCCGATTCGTCGGCAACGGGTCGGGCGGCGGGTCTGGTCTGTTGCTGAGGCGGCGCCGGCGCTGACAATGAGTTTCAATGTTAACTAAATTACGATTATATGTGAAGTGATGGTCACCTCTATCTCTATCCGAAAACTTCTTCTTCTTAGCCATTGTTTTGTGTCTTCAAATGTATTGACACAACAAGTGTTGCGATGTCTTCGTGTGGTATAAATAAAGTGGTGATAAAATCAATAATAAAATGAGTGCTAAATAAACACTTTTGTTATCGTATTTACAATATTGTAAAGATATGGTGAGAAATAGGGCTTAAATTATACTGTATTTCAATTAAATGTGTGTCTCTTTAATGCATAACACTATTTGTGATTTCAATCGTGTAATCAATGGTTTAATAAATGAATGAATGCATTGAAACTTACCTCAAAATCAATACAATTAGTGAAACAAATGGTTAAAGTAATCAATAATAGTGTTTGTGTTAGTGTTTTGATTGCAATAACAAAACGCCTTAACTATTAAAATAACGGTTTGAGTGGTGTTTAAAACACTGTTCATGTGATCATCACTTCAAACAAGTTTGCATAGAAAGTAAACTTGCATTTCATTCATATTGAGTCACTTTGTTTGGTCCCCTTTGTGTCCCCTCACAAGCCTTTACTCTATGACAGACCCCCTAAACACCCCTCAAGTGTTGCCGTCATTCATGTGATAATTGTCCCAATTTTTGTAATTTATTTTTACATTGAATGTAATTTTATGCCATAAAATATGTCAATATTTTTCGCTATTATTTGAGTAAACAATTGCATTAACTAATGATAATTGTTAATAACTAATATTAATGGCATTTAATTGATGAATGCATTAATTGTATGCAAAATAAATGCATTTTTTATTGAGTGTAAAATTAATGTTAAAATGTGTGCAAAAGTGGAAACAAATTGAAAAAAAGTTTGCAAAAAAATACATTTAAAAATGTGTGCATAAAATAGTGTCTACTCTTAAGCCATCTATGGGTTAGACATGAATGCATTGCTTTCCATATAAATAATATTTGTGCACATTTTGCACACATTATCATTGAATTTGTCTGTCATTTACCACAACAACAACCTCTGGAAGCAGTGATGTCTGACTTGTGGTACAAATACGTGATAGCATTGGGTTTGTTATCATTACTGCATTCGGGATACTCTGCGGCCCAACACAGGAGTTACGTGCGATTAGTGGAGCAGGACTTCACTGGTCTTCCGCCAGACATTGTCATCCAGTGTGTGGTCAGTCTTCTGGTGACCATCACATCCATTGTCTCGTTGAACACCAAACACTTCCGCGAGATTCACGCGTTGGACGACCTCAAGGAGAAGACCGTCGACTCCATCAACAATAGGCCCAACTTTTACATCTTTAACCACAGAGGAAGGCTCTGTCGATGAGATATCACATCCAATCGCTTCAGAAAGTCATCGTCTCTTTTATTATCGAAAAGTTTATATTATTTTTTATTAAATTAATTATTATTTAATTAGAGATCAAATTAATAAAATGTCAACTCATTTGTTGTGATAATTAATAAAACCTTTGATTAGTTAAACAGTAAATTGATTTTGAATTTATTTTATATACATTTAATGACACAAAATGTCTTATCAATCGTACAGTTAATCCAATCATCTAAAAGCCTATTAATTACATAATTAACAACTAGTTTAACGTGCGATGAGTTTTATGGCGTGATTTACGATGATTTGCGGTCGAAAGGGTCGGACCAAACCCGCATCCCTCCCGGCTGTATGTCCTCCTGTTTGATACCCTTCCTGTTCAGCGATTGTCTCTCCTCTACAACAAAAAGCACAACAATTAACACTCAATTTACACAACAATTACTAAATTACTGTAATAATCGACGTGTTGTACGGGATATATGAACACTGAATACATGGCCGCTCCGACGGCGCCCACGAAGGCGGCCATTGTTAGCCCAAACCTAATGGGAGTCATTTTGATCCGATTAGCCATCGCCTCACGATTTTCACCTCAATTTAACCCCAATTAACAACAATTTAAACGTGTATTTACTTTAACTATATTATCCTTATTATACCATTCAATACAAGCCATACAACTATACAGTAATCGCGATAATCGCCCCCTAAATGCCGGTCACGTAACTAACTTTACGTAACGTTTAGGTTGAGGGGTTTGTCAATGACCCCCAAATAGCGTACGGTATATATGAGCGTAACGTTGTATGCGAACGGCGCGCGTAGAGGGTGTGGCCATCTGTTGAATACTTATCGAAAGGCGAATGAAAACAAACACTAAAAATATTGTCGCCTTTAATACCATAGGCTTTGCAACGCTTTCATTGAGCAGTCGATTGAGTATTGCATTGAAGTATAGGTTTTTGATGAGCGAAACGAATGCGCGATTCAATTGTGTGAATGGGATTGTAATGTAATGTTTGGCCACAACTCAAACAAAATACTGTAATAATATTGAAAACATTGCAAAAATTACAATTGAAATCAGTTTTAGTGTGAAATCCTTATAAAGCGTGTGTTTTGTGTGGTTTTTACGCTTGAATTGCAATCGATTGAGTCAATTGTCGTTTGGATCACATGTTTCACACTCGCAGACAGTGAACAACCGATTGTCCGCTCGAAATACCGGACATCAACCCGAAGAGGAGGTCCCGCTATAACGTGTCGGTAGTGTCGGGACAATGGGTCAGACGCTGTCAGAACCGGTGACCGCCAAAGAGACGACCAGTTGTGCGAACGAAGACTATGTGGTCGGCGCCTCCTGTATGCAGGGCTGGCGTATCAGTGAGTACTT